AGCCTCTTTGCATCTTCAATGCTGCATTATAAAAATTAAAGCCTAAAAAACTGTAAAATTATTTATTAAACACAATCAATAAAGTAAAAGAAGTTTTCCTAACCTCTGTTATAAAAACAGGGGTAAGACTGCATACATCCGACCCCCCAGAGCCCATAAAATGAGAGCCTCGTGCACTGAGTTACCTTTTTTTATCACATACTCAAGTAGAACCTTATATTTGTGTTTGAGGCAAAGCTCCTCCCAAAGCGTCTCAAGAAGCAAGTGCAGTTGGATTCAGGAAGGAAACGTCTGCTGCGGAACAAGCCCACTGATTGAAACAGTGACCTTGCGGGGGCTGAAATGAAGCCCTTGATCATCCACCATAATATCTGCAGCTTCACAAATTCAATTTGATTTGCACCTGCTGCAATATGCAGTAGTGTAAACCCAAAAGTTGTTATGGAAGCATTTATTAACTTGTTTTCTATGTCTATCATGCCCTTGGCTGCTTGCCAATTCCCTTCTAACGCAAGCTCGTGAATGTTAAGCTAAACGCAAATGTTTTTCAAAAGTGGCATATCAACTAGGACACGTTCCATCAGTGACATATAATCAAGCATGTTCTAGCAATGGTTCATAGAATAACACTATTTTAGGATAAAATAAATATTCTACTTTTCTTACATAAACCATATGATTAGAACATGATTTTTTTTCTATTTTCCTTGAGTGTCAAATACAGTGATCAAACTATAATAATAGCACTAGTGCTTCTATTTTCTAATCACTGTTTCTCACACTTCAAGTCAAATACTCTTCATGTAAATTCTCTTAAAAATCATGGTGCTAGTTATTGTCAATTCTTTTTGAGGTGAATCCTTTTTGGACTGATAACTTATAAAACTTTTCCAACTTCTAGTATCAAAATGTTGATTTCCTGATATGCCATGTAATTTGTGTTTGTAAGCCTGAGGAAAAAACAAGTAACTTATCACAGAACACACCATGTAAATGTTTTTTAACTCTTCCGAATAATAGCAATTATTTCTACAATAAACATGATAATTCAAGTTCATTGCAGTTAGACAATTAACAAAGACATTGAAAGTATATTTCAATCCTCTGTGGACATATGTATTTGAAGGTAGTAGCATATAGTAAATTGTTTTAAACCCCTATCATATATGTAGCTAAATTTATATTTTATTTAGTTACTACCGAACAGGAGAAGTTTAAATGCACCTTTGGTGAGAATGAAAATCAGGCCTATGCACTGGCTATACATGTAGTTATGTACATTTTTCTGTCCCTAAACATAAGTCTCTACCAATTTCTCTCCTCGGTTGGGTGATAAATAAGGAAGCCTGGATGTACAACTTTGGTTTATTTTCTTCTCACGTTTCATGCTATTTCCTATAAATAGACAAATATTAAAATTTCCATGGACAATTTCATAAAATAACTCACCTTGAAACAATGTTGGCTGAATGGAGTATATCCTCGTGTCTTATTTCTGCAATGACTCACCTTGAAACAATGTTGGCTGAATGGAACAATCTTATATCAAATATTTTCCATAATCATTCCTTCACATTCATCTCCATCATAAACCAATTCTAACTTCCGTCACCATTTCATCCATAATCTTCACCTCCATCAAAATTATTGAATGTTCAAGACATATTGAATGTAAATTTTAAAATTATATTGTACTTTTCGTACTAGTGATCTAGACGGAAAAACTCACATTATTGCGTGTTCAAGACATGAATCAAACTCAGAACTTCTGATTAATAAGTAAGAGATCACCTCTATCTAATCCAACTGCTCTTGATTTATTTCGTACAATAAATTTAAATGACACGCATTTTATCATAAAAAGAATATGTAATTATTAGCATGTTTGGTTCTGAGTTGCATTATCTAAAAGCAAGGCCAGTTTTCACGTTTTGGTAGAAACTACTATTTGTTGCTTCTGGATTTTCACGGTGAGAGTGCTTTGGGACGTGGAAAAATGAAGCTGGACGTTTGCTATATACCTAATACATAACTCAAGAATGTTAAAATAATTAAAAATAAAAATTGAAATATTTTAAGGGGGATTTAAAATATTATTTAACTCAATATTTTATTATTAGCCGGAGTTGTAACAGCCTTGATGCAACTTACAAAACATCATACACAACAATAATTGCACATAAAGACATATCAAAGTGCACAGAATCAGACAGATTGCCCAAAGACACAAAATCCATTGTTTACCACTGTAAATCCTCCATCAACAACCAGATTGTGACCACTAACATACTTAGATTCGTCACTTCCTAAGTACAGATTAGCTTCAGCCACGTCATTTGGCATAAGATTTGTTCCCTTTAGGTTAGAATAAACCCCTAGAATCCCATCATCATCTACCTTTAAGTATTTCTTAGCCATCGGAGTAAGAACAATATAAGGTGACACACAATTCACCCGAATACCAAACGGTCCAAGCTCGACCGCCGTGTTTCTTGTCAGCCCCACCACGCCGTGCTTTGAACTTGTGTAAGCATGATTAGCCACACCACCTATGTTTCCACAAATACTAGCTGTGTTAATTATGCTACCTCGTCGAGCAGGGATCATTACTCTTGAAGCGTGTTTTGTTCCGAGAAAAACACCAACTAAGTTAACGTTTATCACTTGTTGAAAATCAGATAAAGTGTTTTCAAGTATGTTGGTATTGTTTACACCGGATATGCCTGCGTTGTTTAACATGATGTCTAGTTTACCGTACTTTGAAACAGTCATGTTCACGGCAGTTTCGACGTCTTTTTCATTTGTGACGTCGCAGTGAACATAGGAAGCTGATGATTTATGTAACTCTTGGCAAATTGAGTGACCTTTGTCGTCTTGGATGTCAGCTATAACGACTTTAGCGCCATGGTTGGAGAAGAGTCTTGCCGTGGCTTCGCCGATGCCTTCTGCACCACCGGTGATCAGAGCCACCTTGCCCTCAAGCCTTATAAATGAATTGAGCATGACAAAATATATAACAAAAGTATTATCATTTATATTTAGGTGTGTATGCAAATAAAACGAGGTGAAGTTGCAACTTGTTTACCTTCTTAGAACAGCTGATGCCAGAGGACCGGTTGCCATGGGTGAGCTTTTCACGTTTCTTGATAGACTAAGAGAAGATAAGTTGGTTGGATCTTAGCATCAGAGTCCTTCACTTCACCTAACTTGTCTCATTGTGCAATATGAAAGCTTTAATATTCCTAATATAGTAAGTCGATGGTTGATTCTGATTTTTTAATATTGCCGCCTTCATAGACTAATCAGCTACACGATATTTTTTAACAACTGCATTCCCTTTTAACAAATATTCAACATTGGGCCCACATTGCAATGTATAGTGAAAAGTCATCTTATAAAAATTTAAAAATACTTATTCGTATCTGAAATTATACGCACCTATACATCAAATATATGTACTAGTGAATCACACTTATTTTATTAAAAAAATAGTTTGATGACATACTTCCAAAATAAATTTAAAAGTATATTTCCGTAGACATATAGTTTTAATGAAAAAGTCAACGGTCAAACTAATGTGAAAGATTTTCACACATCCATACATGCATCTTCATTTTCCTTTTAATTTAAAAATGTGTTTTAATTATACCACATTCATATAATATGCATAAGTAATGGGAAATACAGTTTATTTGGTGGTTGGGGGTGAATGAGAAAAGGAGTGCTAATAATATTAACATTGGTGTTAGAAGTTAGAATTTTATGTTTTGTGAAAAGTTAGTATTTGATGGTGTTGAAGTAGTTGGTTGAAGTAGTAGGAGTCAATTATATTTGGTAAGGTCGAATATAGTATTTAACTGTTGTGTCGAAGTCAAAATATAATATGTATGTTTTGGGCTTGGATTGTAAGTTTTAGGTTTTGGTCTTGATCGCCAAAAATTGGCATATGCTATTGTAATAGTTTTGTAGCTACACTCTTAACAACAATAATAGATTTTTTAAAATACAGTTCTTTCTATTTTCTCTCTTCTTTTTCTCTCGTCTTTCTTGAAAATCGTAATTGTTCCAACAAATTGGTATTAAGGAGTCCGATTGCAATTCAGAGAAAATTTGTAATGGAAAATGGAACAACATCAACACAATTTACAGCGAACCTACTAGTTTTCAAAGGTGAGAACTACGAGAGGTGGGTTACGCAAATGAAGATCATCTTCAAATTTTAAGATGTGTCTGAAATCTTGAATGATGGAGTACCAACATTGGAAGCGAATGCAAATGATATTCAGAAATTTGCGCACAAGGATCAAAGGAAGAAAGATGGAAAAGTGTTTTTCTTGATTCACTAGTGTGTGGATCCTAATGTGTTTGAGAAGATAAGTCAAGAGGAAACAACCAAAGGAGCATAGGACAAGTTAAAGAACTTGTACGGCGGAGATGGCAAACTGAATAGGGTGAAGTCGTAGACATTGAGAAAGCAATTTGAGATAATTCAAATGAAGGAAGATGAATCAATCTCGGAATATTTTTCTTGTGTGATGTTGTTGACGAACCAGATGAAGACGTGTGGTGAATCAATCAATGATTTTTGTAGAAAATTGAGAAAGTGTTGAGATCTCTGGCTGAAAAATTTTGATTACATTTTCGTATCCATTGAAGAGTCCAAGAACCTAGTTAAGATGAAGTTTGAAGAACTTCAAGCTTCACTAGAAGCTCATGAGATGAGGCTTGTGAGTACAACTTTAATATACGGTGTTTTCTATGATGTCAAAACCGAAAAAGATGGCACGACGGTAAAATTAATTGCATCTCTTTGTCTTGTGGCACTCCTCTACATTAAAGATTTTAGGAATCATCAAAAAGTACTTTGAAATTGACAAAACCCATTGAAAAATATTTTCTGCGCATTTTTATTTAGCATGTGTCGACACATCTGAGTTTCAGGTCGACACATGTAACTGTGTTACAAAGCCTGTGAGCTTCTCTAAGTCACGAGTCGACACATGTATCATATAGGTCGACACATACTGAGAAAGATTTCTAAAATTGAAGAAATTCTTATTTTATGTGTCGACACATCCATATTTCAGATCGACTCATTTACTCACGTTTTAAACCATGTAGCTACTTACTTGCTCAGGTCGACACATAAAGTCTTTCAGGTCGACACATGCAGCTTTTTTATACAATATGTGTCGACATATACGAGTTTGAGATCGACACATAAATTCTGTTTTGGTCAAATTTTCATTTTCTTTTATTTCGAATTTATCCTTTTTACCCTAAACTTTTCCAAACTATAAATATTCATTCATGCATCATTTCTAACTTGATGATACCATAAAATTAGTCTACTTTTTCTCTTCATTTTCAACCTTCCAATCTATGAATACACACCAACATTACATTGTGATGATGTTCCATCGAGGTGTCATCTAGACGAAGAATTGAAGATTTTCAATTGGTTTGGATTGAGTTTTTGTAGGGGTCTTCATCCAGAAAAACCATCGGATTTGTCCTCCAACATCATTTGTTGAATTGAGAGTTTTCGTGTAAGATCGTGCAAGAAGGAATCATCTATGTGAAAAATCCTTTGGAGTGTTTGAAATATTTTCAAGGAACCTTAGAGTAATTAAAAGTTATTATTAATATATAGAAGAATATATCTTTCAATCTCAACACTGGTTACTTACCAAGTCCGGTCATCAAACCAGTTCCAAAAATCATATATCCCATTCTTTGACAAAAACTGAATCAAACAAATATGTATGTTATCTTTAGTGACTTTTTATTGGATTGAGAAAAACAAAGCACAGTTGAACAAATATTGCATAGAATGATGAAAATGTTCAGCTGTCGTGATATTGCATAAAATGTCCTGAAGAAAATGCAATAACAGGTGCAGAATAGTTTCATTCCAAAGAATACTCACCTGAGTGACTCTGTAGTTGAAATAAGGATCGAATTCATGAATAAAGCTCTCGTATTTTATAACCTGTATACAACTTATAAAAAAATGATAGAATGATAAAATAACTCAGCAACGAGTAGATATAAATAAACTACTATTATAACGGAGAAATTAGAAAGAAAAAAAAAAAACTTGATCTGAAAATATTATTCAGAAACACGTGATTTTAAAACAAATTAAACAACATTTTGAATTAGATTAAATATTAAAGTCAATTCACATAAATGCCTAAAGTATATCACCACTTTTACATAATAACAATTCAAAAATATGTCTGACATAGATGCGATCATGCTTTTGGATGTTCTGTGAAAAGATACTCAAACCAATTAGATTTTCAACCAATAGTAAGGCTTCAATTTATCATCTAATTATAATAGTCTTAACCAGAAATTCTATTTCAAGTGCATGTAAATTTGAAATGATATCACATATCTTATCATCCTTTGCATTTCTTTCATTCAGTCTAAGCATTACTTACACACCACTAGAGTCAACATTTTCAAATCACATCTTGCCAAATATCAAATCCATAGAGAAAAAATATATAAACAAACAGTTATGGCAATGATGCTGAGATTCTACTATCGTTTTGCAAAATTTGCAAAATTACAAAAATAACTATAAACTGTGAGTTGTTCATTGATATAGACAAACGACGGAACGCTTCAATTGATCCGTTATCAGTGGAGATGAATTGAGAACCAGAAAATCGCAATGGAAACAAGGTGTAGGTAACCAGATCTGGAAAGTATACGAAAGGGAGAAATGCTTACGGAGAAGAGACGGATCGAGAAGGCGAGAAGGCGAGAACAGCGATCAGGATCAGGATGAAGAAGACGAGAACGTTACCGAAGGCGTGGCGGAGGGAGGATTGAGCATCGGTGGCTGACATTGACGGCCAATTGAGCTCGGAGGAGAGATAGAGAGAGAGTTTGTCTGTTTCGGAGATTGACTGGGGTTTATGGTAGAGAAGTCGTTGTGGATGGAGAAACGAGAGTGGGTTGTATGAGATTGCCAAGGGAAAATTTTGCAACAGTATTGAGAGAAAGTCAATAATGGGTCAGTGCTTTGTGTTTGATGACTAAAATGTCCTTTCTATTTCTTACGTGGAAAAACTATTTTGTATTTATTGTTAATATTGATGTAGATAAATCATGTGATTGGCTGTGGAGTGTGTGAATAGGGATGTAAATGGATATTCATGGAGACGGATAATATGATATCCGTGTCTGTTCCGTAGATAACATTTTATTCTAAAATTATTTATTTAAAAAATATTTTTTCAGTTTTTTTTTAAAGACACAAAAATTATTATCATATAACATTTATACAATTTAGTTTCAATTTAATAACAAAATTTCATCATATTAATATTTGTCTTTTTCACCAAAACATAATAACACTCATATAGAATATCCATAATTTTTAACCAAAACAATATTCATCATAGCATATAATAATTGTTCCAAACAAAATAAAAAGTAATGATGCAGATAGTTTTCATCAATCATTGTAAAATTCCATATTATGCATTCCTTGCTTCAACAATTCCACTTTGATTTCCTAGCTCCTGAAATAAAATCATAAAAATGTTCAAATAAAAATCTAAATAATCAACATAATAATAATATTTAAAATGAAATCTTTAACATTTCACTAACAATGTCAGCATCCATATCTTCCAATACTGAATTAATTTCAATGACTTCGGCTTTTAATTTTGTATAACCTGAAAAAAGAAAAAGAATAAGTTAAATTCTAAGTGATTATAATTTTTTTAAGAAGCAATGAATTGTTATAGTTAAACAAAACTTACAATACGAAATTGATATTCAAATTCTAAATAGTTATAATTTTTCTAAGTGTTAACACTAACTAGGAATGTAAATGGATATCCAAGAGAAATGACCATATAAAATAAATTAATTATGAAATGGAAAAGTAAGGTTTATAATATATTATAGAATATAATTTTTTTTAAAGAAAACGTAAAAAAAAAAAAAAAGACCAAATTCTTTTGGAAGATGATAAGACTTAGTAAAATATATAAATATTTAAATAATTTTTATAATTAATTAACGGATACGGATATCCGCGGGTATGGATATTATTAAATCCGTATCCATATCCATTAAATAACGGGTATCTAAATATCCATTTATTTTATCTACGGATATCCATTAAGTTATCCATCTCATATCCGTAACGGATTTTATCCGCGGATATTCGCGGATACGGATTTTTTTGCCATCCCTATATGTGACTCTCTTCTTAGTCTCCGACGTTATTTTTTACTACTTTTTTTTTAATTGATTTTTTTACTACATTTTTCTTGATGCAATATAAAGGATTTTTCAGTTATGCTGTCGGGCAAAATTATGCCTTTCCGATGGAGTAAAAACTTAAAAAAAGAAGAAAACTTGTTTAAAAAATACATAATAATAATTTTAGAAGTTAACAAAATTGTGTAAGATTAAGAGTAACTATTTATGGTCCATTCTTTTGAAACAACACACCCCTTCTATAAACGTAAACCCTATATATAATATATCATATATATGAATACTATTAAAGGGTAATTTAGTATTTACCATTTTTGGATATTCTCTTTTAGGACCTATGTGACATTCTTATCTTTACTATTTTTGTGTATAAATAGGTGTGTTAGGTTTCATTTAATACAATCAATCCTCTTTCAATCATTATTTGGCACTTTTATAGCATTTGTCATTTTCTCTTCTTCCTCAATTTCATCACCTTGCACCAACAAATTGGTATCTAGAGCTCTTGGTTTGTTCTGAAATTCTGGGAAACACGAGTGATAGTGAGCTGTGTGTTTGATTTTTGGTTCCTGATTTCTGTTGAATCTTGAACAAAAATCTGAATAGAATCACACTGATTTTGTGGGTTTAGGAAATACTGAGTGAGAATCTGAGATCTGAGATTTGTGCAAGGTTTAAGATGAGTGGAGGCAGTAGTTTGAACACTAAACTTCCAATTTTTGATGGTAAAAGCTGGAACAGATGGATGATACAAATGTGTGTGTTGTTTGGTGCTCAGGATGTTTTGGGTCTTGTTACCATTGGTTATGTTCCAGTTGCAGCAGATGCTACTGAAGAACAAAGATCTGCAGAAAGAGCTACGAGGAAGAGGGATCAGAAAACTTTGTTCTATATCCATCAGTGTGTGGATGAAAGTGTGTTTGAGAAGATTGTTGATTCGACGACCTCGAAAGAGGCATGGGATATACTGGTCAGATGTTACGGTGGTGACGCGTCAGTGTAGAAGGTGAAGCTTCAGTCCCTGCGTAAGGAATATGAGAATCTCAACATGAAGAACAGTGAGAAAGTTTCTGAGTACATCTCCAGAATGATTTTGATCACTAATGAGATGAAAGCTTGTGGAGAAACGCTTTCTGAACAGGTAATTATAGAGAAGATTCTGAAGTCACTTACTCCTTAGTTTGATTACATTGTTGTTTCTATTGAACATTCTAAAAATCTGGAAACCATGAGAATAGAAGAGTTGCAAAGCAGTCTAGAAGCGCAAGAGTTGCATCTGACTGAAAGAACTTCTGAGAGAGAAGTGGAGCAAACTCTGAAGGCTTCTTTTGTCAAGAAGGACCAAAAGCATAATAGACGTGGTGATAAATTCCAGAAGTCAGAAACCTCAACTTCTGATGAAAAGAAATATCAGAAGGGAAAGGAAAGGTATGACAAGAAGAAGGTTCAATGTTACTGTTGTAAACAGATTGGCCATTTTTCCAGAGATTGTAGAAATAAAGGAAGGAAATCAGAAGAAGCAAATATAGCTAGAGGAGATTATGATGATGAACTTGTACTACTGATGGCCTCTGATTATGATGGAAAGTGTTCAGAAGATTGGTGGTATATAGACACTGGCTGTTTAAACCACTTGACTGGGAACAAACAATGGCTCATAGACTTTGACTCCAGAAGGAGAACAAAGATCAAATGTGCTGATGATAAGTATCTTAATGCAGAAGGTATGGAAAATGTCAGAGTCAGAGTGGAGAATGGAAAAAACATTATGATCAAAGATGTTTGGTATGTTCCTGGAATCAAAAGCAATATGATGAGTGTGGGTCAGCTCATTGAGAAAGGGTTCTCAGTTGTTATGAAGGACAACCTCTTGACGTTGTATGATTTTAATCAGAAGTTGATTATAAAGTCTGAGCAGGGAAGCAACAGAACATTCAAGGTGAATGTAGAAATAGTTGAAGCAGAGTGTCTTAGTGCAGAAGGCGCTGAAGGTGACAGTAAGCTGTGGCACAAGAGGTTGGGGAACTTGAACTATAGAAGCTTAGGGCATCTAAGTTCTAATAAGCTTGTACATGGCATTTCGAAGATTGTGAAGCCTGAGAAGTCATGTGAGATATGCATGAAAGGCAAGCAACCCAGATTGCCATTTGCATCAGAAGTAGCTCCCAGAGCGAAACATGCTTTGGGAGTAGAACATTCTGATGTGTGTGGACCATTTCCAATATCTTTACTTGGAGGAAATAAATATTTTGTGTCTTTTGTGGATGAGTTCACAAGAATGACATGGGTAACACTCATCAAGTTCAAGCATGAAGTGTTTACTGAGTTCCAGAAGTTCAAGGTGAAGGCTGAGAAGTAGAGTGGTCAGAAGCTGAAGATTCTGAGAATGGATGGTGGAGGTGAGTATAACTCTACAGAGTTCCAGAAGTTCTGTGAGAAGAATGGAATAGAACATGAGGTTAATGCTCCATATACTCCTCAGCACAATGGTCTTGCTGAAAGAAGAAACAGAACTTTGCTTGATATGACCAGAAGTATGCTGAAAGAGAAGAAGCTACCTCACATGTTATGAGGAGAAGTTGTTGCCACATCAGCATATATTCTGAATAGGTGTCCAACGAAGAAGCTGAAGGAAATTGTTCCTTTAGAAAAGTGTATTGGAGATAAGCAAAGTGTTAGCCATCTGAGGGTGTTTGGTTCTGTATGCTACAAACACGTTCCAGAAGCTAGAAGACGGAAACTGGATGATAGAAGCAAAGTAATGTTACTAGTGGGGTACCACAGTACATGTGCCTATAAGCTTTATTGTCCAGAAACCAACAAAGTTGAAATCAGCAGAGACGTTATTGTGAAAGAGTCAGAAACATGGGATTGGAACAAGCCTTAATCAGATTCTGGTGTAGCGCCAACACCAGAGTTAGTTTCTGAAGATTCTTCAGAAAGTTCTGAAGACGAGTCAGAGTCAGAAGATGAATCTGAAGACTCTAAAGATGAGTCAGAATCTCAGGGAGATTCTGATAGTGGATCTGATTCTGATGATGATCCAGAATCTGGTGATGATTATATTTCTGGAAGGGAAAACTCTGAAGACATAGGGTTTGGAGGATAAGCTTCCAGAAGTAACTCTGAAGGTGGTAATTCTGAAGGAAGTAATTTTGGACAAGGTCTAGAAGCTAGCATTGTTCCGAGTTCTGGAGAAGCTTCAGAACTAGTTCAGAGGCCACAGAGAATCAGACAAATACCAAGTAGGTTAGCATATTTTAGCATGTTGCATGATACTGAAGTAGATTCTGAAGGAGAAGTCATTCAGTATGCCATGTTAGTAGATTCTGAACCAGTGGGTATTGAATAAGCTCTCAAGAAGAAAGTATGGTTGAATGCCATGAAGGAAGAACTTGAGGCTATTGAAAGAAACAAAACTTGGAAGTTGACGAAGCTTCCAGAAAAGAAGAAAGCCATCAGCATCAGATGGGTTTTCAAAGTGAAGCTTAAGCCAAATGGATCAATTGGCAAACACAAAGGGAGACTAGTGGCTAAAGGTTTTCTTCATAAACTTGGGCTAGATTACTTTGAGGTGTTTACGCCTGTAGCTAGAAATGAAACAATCAGA